GATCAATGGCAACTACGACGAAGCTCAAGACATCACCATGGAGCCATTCTTCCGCGAGATTCCTGGCAAGGTCAAATGGGTTCGTNTTCCCGAGAGCAGTCATTGTCCTCATTTGGAAGAAACAGACGCTTTTGTTGAGGCTGTCGGCAATTTTGACCTCTGAGTCATGATCTGATTTTTTGTCCACTTTTGGTTCGATTTGTTGTTTTGTTCTTTTTCTTGGTTCTTCTCTCGATTTCATCACAACTTCCGTAATATACCCCTGTTCTATTTCTTCCATGAGTTTACACATGCTTTACTACTTTCCTCGTTCTATCGGTCCTCAACAGCCATTTACAATAAAAGTCGATTGTCTGCCGTACACACTATGGAAAACCATCACGCCTCCCCTTCATCCAACAGAATACAGCAAGAGATCTAATATCATGACCATTGTCACTTCGATCTCCCAAATTGTTTGGTGCAATTCCAGTCCTCTCAAGAATGCTTGTATATGGTTGATTGGTCAAATTGTATCCTTCTAGTCGAAGCATTGCTTACCTGGAACTGACTGACGATTTCTCTCCCATGCTCATGCTTTGCGAGTCTCTTGGCCATCGCGACTGGAAGATGACAACAAGAAGAACGAGAGATGCTCTACCTCCGGAGAGACATCAGCAGTCATTGTTCAAGTTACTGCTCCTCATTCTGATGATGCTAAGGTAAGCAAAGTCATCAGGTCACTGATGACTTATACTGATGCACCATCTCCGGTATCTCAGCATTTCTTTACTTCGCCATCATCAAGGAGAGACACCTGGAGGGATTTTGGCTCACAGACCTGCTACTCTTGCTCTCGTCGGTGGCAGAGCAATCTTCTGTGCGACAGTGGCTGTCTCAGTCTTTGTCTTTGACATCTGAAGCTTGATGGAACTACGATGAGATCCAGAAGTCGAGTTGGATGACAGATATCTAGTATGACGGAAGATTTCTTCTACCTTCTACATTCGAGGTTGCGAGAAGATCAGCATCTCAAAATCTGGGTTCTCCGAATCCAAGAACATGTTGTGTACACTGTTGTAAAAACTGTCTTTTCTGGACTTATCCCGGAGACAACTATTCATCAGGAAACAACCTGTTGTGAGTCAAGGTGGAGTACCCTGTTTGTAGCAGATGCAAGGGAATGATCGTACGAGATCGTAATCTCATCATGAAAAGTACGTAGATCATCTTAAGCACCTCTATCACCTGCTACTAGTTCTGTATTACCATCGATCTCTTACTTGCTTTGTATATGGTCAATAATACAGAATCTCAGTTGGACGGTAGATCGCGCAGTGTATTGTCGCTGGGTAACTAGATTCATATCGAGAACAACGAGCACCAGGCTCCTATGCATCGTATGTCAACCTAGGCTAGTAAGTATTATGTATAGTAGCCTGCGCACATCAGACCTATTAGAAGTTTTACTAGCGAGACAAGAAGATCATCGTCGGTTTCATCGACCCAGTAACGTCGCCGATGTACCTACATTTGAATCAGTAGAATACTTGCAATTTTTACTCCTTATGTACGCATCCACCAGATTGGCTTCTTGGGCTCTCAGGCTTGCGGACAAAGCCCGATTTCAGTAGCTCTTTAGATTGTAAGAAGTTCTGGTTTAGTAATGTACGTAAAGTTAAACTCCATGTGACAATACTGAGGCAATAGAGACTTGAACTTCCAAGTTATTAAAGATGTTACTAATTAGTATGGTATAGTCTAGGAGATTATGAATGATATAGAGAAAGAAATAGAAGATGGACAAGTTGTGTTATGCAAGGGTGAAAAATCCTTTATTTCGATGTCACAGGTCTTGCATAACTTAATTGCAAGTAAGGAATGTTAGGTAACTTGTTTTTACATGATAAGAAGGATAGTTAGCCAACTTGAGGAGGAGGCACATCCTTGTGGGTACGGAGATAGATGGCAAAAAGTTGCGACGTCGACCTAGTTCGTTTCGTCGACGTCAGCGATGTGATTATATCAACTACGGGGATCATAGGTTCATAAGACGCAGATTACGATGTGGATAAGATGGGTTTGTTTCTGATCGGTGAGAGTGGGAGCCATGGTTAGTAAAAGGAAAACAGGTAGCAGAGAAATATGTGAAATTTTACATACTGGAAAGCATGGAATCTCCCTTACTTGAAATTCGTATTGCACGTCTCTCCGCGGAGGCCACCGTATTTCTTGATTATACCGTGCATTTTTATAGTCGCGTTTTTCAATGTGAGTTGTGGAGAGAGAGTGAGCCAGTTCCTGCTACGAAGAATATAAATGTCTTTTGGTCGACATTCACGCCTTCTTACTTTGGTGTAGTGGTTACGGCTGCACTCTTACAGACGCGGTGCCCTTTTCATACTCATACTCTATGAATCTGGAATACTAGCCGGGCGCGAACAGGCCCTTTCGATCTATTCGCGCCTATCACACCGAGGCGATGATCTGTTGATTGACGGTATGCGAACTCCAGAACTCACGTAAACATGAGTTAACAATACAAGACTGGCACGGAGAAGTCGGTGCGGTGATTTTGAGTTGACTCTATGTGAGGTGAAACACATTGGTCTTCTTGTTCCAGATACGAATATACTATACTCGATTCTGGAAGATTGCACCATCACTGGATCCGATACGAGATGGAAATTCATCTCTATTGATGCTTGACACGTCCTAGACATTTCATGTCTCCTGGGATCTTGACGGTACAGAAGAGACCTCTCCCACCTTATGGTTGTCAATTCTGTCGAGTAGCCTCGACTTCAGGGAGTAGCAGCGATGGAGAAACAACAGGAGTAACCAGATCTATATCTCCTCCTTACCCAAATACTTGTCGCTCTTTCTTCTCTTGTCGTATGTCCAATTTTCCGCTACTTTGAACCTCTTGTCTCTGGAGACTGATGTCCCTAGCTGCAGTATCACAGACTCACCTCTGCCTTCCCTGTTGTTGTTTGTTCCCTGCAGTCTCTTCATTGTAATTCAGATCCAGCACAAACTTGGGCTCTGGTTGACTGGGGGACGATGAGGAAGGCAATCTGCCTGATGTCTGTTGGAGAGCTTCTATTATGCTGCGACTGAATCTTTTTATATTGTTACAAGACCGAAATCGCCTTTGGGGGCTTCATGTCATCACTTCAAATGCCAACTAGCGCAAGAGTCGTTCGGGCATGCAACCGGCATATGCAAGTCACCATAACTACGTGTGTATAAAGAGCAAGTCAGAAGATGGTAGAGCGAAATATGCATTTCGATTGTCATGTCATACCGGGATGGAAAAAGCGACTCGTAGAATGAAAACACAATCAACTATGAGAAACCAGCAACTAGCAAAGCAAAAAAGCGATGATTCCTATCATCCATGAACGCCACCTTTGATCAAGCAAGCTCGCCACCAACACCAGTCTCCGCTTTCATCAGCACAACTGTACTCTGCGTCGAGCATCAACCATCGAACTGATGACGAGTAAAATCGCTCGTCTACTATCATTGTCAATAACCGGCAGAGCTGCTCACAGGTCCATAGGTCGTCAATGGCCAAAGTCCATCTCCGATCAAGGGCAGTGGTCCATCTCCGACAGGCATGACGCTGCTAGCATCCACACCAGGAGGCTTCTGGCCCAGTGCCAACAATGCGTTTGCATTCTGGACGTCAAAGCCAGGGTAACCCGTGCCCATGATACCGAGCATGTCGTGGGTAAAGTGGCGCCAAGCGACAGGTCCCATCATCATTTGTTGGGGTTGTTGTTGAGGTGTCATTGCTGGTGCGGTTGTCGCAGGGGTATTAGGAGAAGCGTAGCTGTTATTCGGCGACGGAGAGGTGAATGCTTGGAAAAGGTTTTGTGCAGTCTGGTCGTGAGGGGCCATTTGTTGCGGTAAGTTCTGGTTGTGCGTGTGATTGGTTTGGTGTAGGGCGTGGCCAGCATTGTGAGCGGCGAGTTGAGCAGTGAGATCGGACTTGATGTCGTCTCCATTGGTGTATGCACTGCTATCGACGAAGGCAGGGTACGCAGGTGCCGATGCGCCTGATGGGTCAGGGTATGCGAAGCCATTGGTTTGGTAAGACTGTTGGGCTTGCAGACCGTTCTCATCGGAGCCAAGGTACGATGCGCCAGCGGTTCCATCTGTAGGAGGAGCACCGCTGGGATCGGCAGGAACATATGCGGGAGCATAGCCAGAGGGAGCATTGTATCCATTGACGCCATCTTGTTGGCCGTCGCCGAGAGCCGGCGAGGAGTGGGCAATGTTGGCCGAAGCAACAGCAGCGCTTGCGGTTTTGGCGGCAAGGTGACGATGAATATTGTCAATGGAAGCGTTGACGATGTGACGCACGGCGTTCTGCAGCTTAGCACCACTGCCCATCAGCTGACCATCNGTTCGCTGATGAGTGCCAACAGCAGGGTGATGAACGAGCAAGTTCAGCTCGNNAGCGCCAAACTGCAGGTAGAGAGAACAGGCTCTGTCATCCTGAGCAGTTTCAGGACCACCAGAAAGCTCAATGGGGATGCTCTTCAAGAAGTAGTCGAGATCACGCTCGAGCTTCTGGATGGTGAGCTCATATGAGTGAGGCGGAGCGCGGACTGAGTAAATCGAGGTCTGAACCTGGATGACAAGCAAGACCCACTTGAAGTTGTGGCAAGCGACACGGTACGAGCACTTGTGCCATTCGTCGATACAAGTCGCCTCGTTGCCAGTGTTGTCGTCAAGAGCCTTGGGAAACTCGACATCAAAGTCTTCGAGGCGCATGGCCAATGGTCGACCAAGCTTGTTGCTAATGGAAGTGTGGATGACCAGAACACTCCAGAAGACACGCTTGCGCATCTCGATTTCATGTTCGCTGAACTCCGGGCTGGACTTGCCCCAAGCACTGACCGATCGGTGCAGGCCCATCTCTGCACAAAGGTTTAGTGTCAAAGTGGACATGAACCAGGCAGCTCCGGGCTTCGTAAAGTTTCTCAAATGCAAACAGATCAAAGCAATAGCCTGGATGTTTGGCAGGGTACGCTTGGCCATGAGATCAGGAAGGAAACTGGCAGCATAACGGTAGTGGTCGGCCCATTGCGTCGGACGGCTGTTTCTGACCGAAGACTGGAACAACATCATGGCGATGATCATGTGCAGCTGGACAGTCTCACTGATATCCGGCTGGTAGACCTCGTCCGAGTTGAGGCGATCGACCATATCCAAGACGTCGGGCTTGTGGACGATTGGCGCATGGCAGTTGACCGAGATAAAGTACCACTCGCATAGGGCCTTGCATTCGCGGTACGAAGGGAATGAAGGTGGAGGCGGACGTTCTTGCGACGACTTGAAGGCGATGCTGAGGAAGTTCTCGTATGATGTAGGCGAAAATGCTTCGTCATTGTCGTTGGTAACAAAGTCGACAAGGTCCAGCTCCATGCCGAAGAGAGCGACCGACGTGCCCTTGATGGGCGACAGCCATTCATTGGCGCCAGAGATACCGAGATAGTTGTCGCCGAGGGAGTTGTTGCGGTAGTCGGGTAGGGCGGAGGTGCGAGCACGGGACTTGGCCGGGTCGAGATGAGTTTCGGCTCCGAGGATTGACGAGAGGTCGAACATCTGCTGAGGCCAGGCGTAGGCAGGCTGGCCACCACTGCCGACAAAGCCCAGGGGCATGATTGGCGCAGGACGAGGGTCGAGTCCAGAATCGATCAACTGCTGGCGCAAGTCGTTGATGTGCTGCTTCAAGGCCATGTTCTCTCCTTCAATGTGCTCGGTGTGGCCTCTCGAGGTGGCGCGTCCAGTGATACGGTCCGTCGTCTTGCATTCGAGGTTGTTGGCGATGCATGGTGAGCATCCTCCTGGGCGAGCGTCACATCGTATCTTTCTGACCNNTGGATGTACTGTCAGTGACTCTATGACAGGACGACGATGATGTTGATGGTCGAGTCTCACCTTGCAACGGTCGCAGGCCTGACCAGTTCGCGATGTCGTCGTCAACTTCTTCCGGACAGAGCGTGAGAAGTCACCATTCTCAGACTTGGTGAGCTTGGCCGGCGTGCCATCTGGGCTGCCTTCGCTCGCGCGTTTGCTGCTCATGCCTCCCTCAAGACGGTATTCGCCGTGAGCAAGAAGGACGCGGTACAAGCCGTCGATAGGAAAAGCTGAAGCTGCGTGAACTTATCAAACACGAGGACTCGAGCAAAATGAGTCTTGTAACGTCCAGAAAAATGCGTGTTGCACTGGCGGTGTGATAATGCGAGCTCTGTATTACGATGAGATCGCCTCCCGAAGATGACATGAATTTTCTCTCTACCAACTTCGCTATCCAAGACCGCCAGCAAGCCGATTCCCGCACGTGATGCGCACGGACCATTTTCCTCCTTCACTCTTTCCTCCTACCACAACCCATCACTGGCCAGCCAAATAGCAAACACGCCTTTTGATTCGATCAGAATGTCTACTCTTGAGATCATCGCTCTTCCTCACCTGCCCCAGTATCCACTGTGCGTTGGGCTGTTCAAGAATGTGAATAATGCCTCTTTCCTCCGTCAACAGCTTCTGGCTGGCAACGCCGACTTTGAATATGCCTTCCTTGATGCTTCTGTTGTACGTTGCTCTTGCTTACATTATAAGACTATCCCTAATTTGAGAAGGNTCGTCTCTCGTATGCAGTTCCTTGCTGCTTCCTTTAGAGGTATCAATGCTTTTGCGAGCAATCGCATGAAGAGTCACAATGTTCATTCCGAGATTGTATTTTCTTTCTCACCAAACAACAACGTGAGTCGTTTTTGATCTCACAAGATGTTTTTGTAAGCTGAAAATCTATCAGNNATTGCCGAATCATTCCGCCGCTTTGGTATTTCCGACACAACTCAACATGTTCTGGCCATCAAGGTTCTATCTTCGGACGTTACGGCAGAGTCTGTCAACCAACACCTTCAACAAAATATCGAGGGCGAGCAAGTAGATGTCTCGGACGCTGAATTCTCAGAGCTGGCTGACCAGGCACGACTCCGTAAGATCTACAAGCTCAATGTTCAGACCAAAAAGGGCGCCCAAAATGGTACGGTCTCGAAAGAAGCCGAGATCAAAGAGCTCGAGACTTCTATTCTTGGTGTCATGGCTCTCAAAGGCTCATGAGCTCTTGACTCTCCTCAGCATATCACCATCTCCCAGCCTTAACTGGCTGATCTCAACTACCCTCAAGATTGGATGCTACACATCTGACTAAGACCACGGACGATCCAGTCAGCCTCGAAAAATCATCGCTATTCCAGGGTTTCATGAGGCCGCCCCTTGCCCTCATATGGTAACACGAATTGCCATGTGGTCCCATCGATGCATTTGGTATCTCCGAAAATACGGACTGCAGCCCTTTCAATGTCGAATACCAATCGTGTCTCCGATCATGCCGACCGCGTACATTTGAATCTCGGTCGAGCAAATGTTGCGCATGCAGACTTCACGCTCGACTGCCTCACGAGTAAGAGCTGCCATACCAAACATACAAGCATTGTTCTTTGTCCCATTGTCAACGTTTCCTGCTCCCACTTGCTTGCTCCCCCTGGGTATGAGCTAGCTCTCAATCCTTCTATGTGTTCGTGCAGTCATTTCCCCCTTCATGCTATCCTGAAGCAGGGTCTTCCAGCGTTCCTCGTCTCGTCACTCTCCGCAGATCGGGGTATGCCGAGGTATCAACAAGGGCACGGCCGTCGGTGCATATCGCGTTACTTACTCTCTATTGAGTTTTTCACTCCCTTTGTTCGTGGGGTGAGAACTGTGGACGCTGAGAGCGTCTGGTCGCATCTGGATTACAATATTGCTATTCGTTGACGCGAGAGAACTGAAAATAGTTAAAAATAGGATCGTGGCAATCATTCAACACAGACAGGTAGCAGTGGCTTGTCTGTCTGATGATCAAGCGATGGTACCCACTCCGGAAGTTGCCCTTCTTTGCTGTCCATTAAATCCGAAGCATGGTCGGATTTTGAGGCGTCTTGATGAAAGTGGCGCCAGTTCCTATTGTTGAAAGTATTGCCCGCACTCTCCGTCTTGAAATACTCGGCCATCTTGTGGTTCATCCTATCTGACTTCGGTGAATTCAGTGAGTGGCTGCTGTGATCCGAGAGCTTCGAGTTGTGTCTATGCTTGTCTTCTTCGTATTGGCTGTGTAATCATCTCCATAAGCACAAGTGTCGGAGGATTCGTTTACCCTGATAACAAAAGTCGAGTCCTCCGGTCAAGGCTTGCGCACATTGATCATGGAAATAAGCTGGTTGGGGTCACAAAACATGGAAGGATCGATTTCGCTCTTGTCCTACTCTTGTCCTACGTAATCCAAGGGCGTCGAACAGCTTGGCGGGTGTTGGCATCTCGATTGAAGAGATACCTATTCTGAAGCATGACAGTCGAAAAGTCGCAGAGCAGTGCCGAGTTTCACAAAACCACGTCGAGGTGACGGCAAAGTGTTTCGTCCTTTCCTGGAATGGCGAAATCGATTTGAGGTGGAAGCCGATCAGCCGTGGTATGCACGTTAACGCACAACAGCATCAATGAGCTTAGCAAAAGGCAAATCAAATTCCTCGGCTCGATCTGTCCTTGTGAAGACGTTGAGCCTCGGGGCAAACGATTCGAGAATCCGCACAGCAACACTGTGACAGCTCAAACGTGGTACTGTTGGAACCCAGAGAGGGGCGTTTCGCTCGCTCCTGAGGCCGCGCAACACTCATTTCTCGGAGCCAGACGGTCTCAAAACATAAGCCGCTTCGGACATGTTTCTCTCTGCATAGGTCAATGTTCAGCTCGGCTGACAAGCCACGTTCAATAACAGTTGATCAGTTTTTCGTTCAGGTGGCAGTCTGGTAAAAGTTTCCTGTCGACAAGAGCGCCACACGAGAGCTAAGGCATGCCAAGGTCAACCAAGCATTGGGCAAATGCTTGTCTCGGTTCAAACGTGTGGGTGAGTCGTGTGGGTTGGTTATGTTGGGGTCTCACGCAAGGAACATGCACAAGGTGTCTTTTGTCTGAGGATTGTGATACAGAAGGCAAAGTAACGCTCCAGACACCCGATGCCTCATCTTCAGTGTTTCCGCCTGCAAACAGGGTCGGTGGAAGGTGGTGTTCGGATACTGGAGATTGTTCGGATGTGTGTCGATGCGGCTGGGGCTGCCCCCGAAACAGGCTCGCCGCGCGCCGTTGGCCAGGTTTCAGCAGCTGTCGCTCTCCGATGACGCCGATGGGTGAAGAATTCGATGCAAGACTACGCGGCCACATCAGAACGGTTTCGAGGGGCTGGCCGGCCGCGACAGCAATTGGACCTTTGATTTGGAGGCACGTCTTGCATTGGCTTTTTCCATATCTTTCGCGCGACTTTTCGGGGTCTATTGGCCGTCGTCCTGGTATTTTGTATTTAGACGCGCGACAAGCCCTTCTTCTGCGTGCATTCGTAATCCAACCCTTGTCCCTCCAACAAACAACCAGGATCATCTGGGAGGCCAAGGAGAATTCGTCGATCATTCACCCTTTTCGGCACCCTCTCACACGACACCAAGCAGGGCAAGTTTCCACCAAACAAGTTCAGGCACACGACCACTTTCCCAGCCTGGTTGTTTCTTCTTATACTTTCGACTCTCCACCTCCCGGATCATCCTTTGTGCCCTATCTTTCTGCAACTTTTGGATCTTTCACTCACTCAATCATTCGCTCAGCCATGCGTCTGTTCAACATCCTCCTGGCCACAACGGCACTTGTCACTGGATCTGGTGCTCGCCCTATGAAGGTCCCCACGCAAGACATTGCTCGCAAACGAGATGCGGATTTTGAAAGCGTGCGAACTCGCCTCACCAAAGACTACAGCGGCAAGCGTGGTGACCCGAAGGACAAGTACTTTCACGAATCAACGTTCCACCCTCACATGGACGGTCGATTTGGTGACCGAGTCCTGAGCTATGATGATCGTCGTTCAAATCTTACCACGCTCATGCAAACATACCTCTCGACCATGAACGACATTGGAGCAGAAACTTGGATCATGCACGGAAGTCTTCTGGGCTGGTTCTGGAACAGGAAGATCATGCCTTGGGACTCGGATGTTGATGTTCAAATGACCGAAAAGTCAATGGAGCACTTGAGCGACTTCTACAACATGACCGTTCATCACTACAAGTTGCCTGACTTCCCTGAAGGTCGCGACTACATGCTCGAAATCAATCCACACTGGAGAAACATCAGTACGACTGATAGACTCAACGTTATTGACGCTCGCTGGATTGACATGAGCAACGGCCTGTTTATTGACATCACCACACTGCACCGCAACACGACCGCTGAAGCTCTAGGTATTGAGGGAGCCATGATGTGCAAGGACAAGCACCACTTCAACTTCACCGACATCTTCCCTCTGCGCGAGAGTGTGTTCGAGAATACTCCCGTCAAGGTTCCATATGCATACACCGACCTTCTTGCTGAGGAGTACGGATCTAAAGCCCTGGTCAAGACAACATTCGAGAATCACCACTTTGACCAGCAAAAGATGGAATGGATCCCTCTCACGTAAGTCTAAACCCTCAATCTCTTCTGTTATCTCCAACCCCTATCGTATGCCAGGCAAGGCAGGGGCTCACCAAAAGAAAACAGACAGCAACAAATGGCATCTTAACGTGTCCTAACACTTGTGTCGTAGCAATCCAACGACTCTCAATGGAGCAACCGGTGGTGCCAGACCCAACAACAAGGTCATCTACACACACAAAGGTAGACCTGTCGGCGGCTCGGCTACACCAAACACACCAGCAGTCAATGTCGACGCTTCTGCTGTACAAGGCCAGCCTCGACTCAACCAACCCATCACACATCCTCATAACCTGGCCCCATTACCACCTTCATGATCTGACCTCACTACCATGATTGTACATGCATCTTTCTGCTTTGTACACACCGACTCTTCTCGAGTCTTTTCCGATGATAGCGCTTCTTTAGCGACGGCGTTCTTGGGTTTCTTTTTTTGTTTGCACAAAGCATTTGGACTCGCATCCACAGCGATTTTGCCTTTACAACGATACCACACGACGCATATTTGTAGATAGCATTCTTGTATTCTCTTTGCAAGTCTTGCATCTTTTCTTTTCCTCCTTTGCATAGCATCAAGCATCATGGAACATACAAGACTAAATTTCTATCATCTCAAATTTCCCACCTCCTGCTCTCATTATTGTTGTTGTTGTTGCTCAGGCACGAAGGTTTTTTGATGGTTGCGCCACACGGCATCTTGTATCCGGTGTCTTGCAGAGCCACGCACGCGATCCGCAAATACATGCCAGCGGCTGACAACTGGTCGCGTGCAACCATCTTTCTCGGGAATCGATTCTTGAACACTTCTGGTGCAGAGCATGTGCTTTTACTTTTGAGTAGTCCCCTTATCTCGAATCTCACACTCGCAAAAAAAAAAAAAAAAAAATCTTATTTCGCGGTGTCGCTGTTGCTTGAGTTTCTCGGACCTGCATTCTCGAATCTTCTGTTCCAGCAAACAACCTTTTTGCGGACGATCTTGTTGATGTTTTGTGTCGGGATCGGCGGGGGTGCCTATTTCTTTGACATGTGTCGACTCCTTCCATCATTCCTTTCCTCGCTCTATTTCGTTTTGCCGTAAATCGCAAATACCGAGGGCTAGAACCCCCAAAACAGGTCTCAGTTCGCTTCCCCCGCGGGGGGGGGGGGGGGGGGGGGGGGGGGGGGTGGTGACATGCTAATTTATTGCCGGATTTGACGGGTTGAAAGTAAAAAAAAAAATGGTGCGAAAGAAGCTGGAAAGGGTAGTGCTTGTTTTGGATGGACAAGCAATGTCAAGCCTTTTTGGTGGCAACGGTGTCTTGGATTTTGGAGGGGCCGCTGGTGACGGGTGACGGTAGTGAGGGGGAGAAATTGGTATGGGGAGCCGGGATGTAGGGGGAGAAAAGATAGGGAAGTTGGTCGCGAGAGAAGGAGACCAGTTGCAATCTCCGGGATAATCTGTCGAAGAGAAGGATTTGGTGGCTTTGCTCGAGCGAGACCCAAGGATGATCTGGTTGTACTGTGGGAGCACCACTGCCAAGATGTGGTTACCATGAGACGAAGCTGTGATGTGCTCTCATCGACCTAGATTCCTATCGTGGATAGTATCGCGAATGCGCATAGCATCAATTGAAACACTTGATTCATGGTGAGAAAAGTATGCATTGTTGACCGACGAAGTCTCGCTCCTGATATGCAACCTGCCTGGTGTAAACCCTCCAGCTTCCAAGCTTTGCTCCATAGATGCAGAAAGAGATGGACAACATAGCTGCTACAGCACACAACCATCTTCAGAAACACATGTAGAGAGCCAGCTCTCAACATCCAATCCTCTGTCTGGCACGCACATTGGTGTATATCTGATGCATACAGCCCATCAATCAACCCAAAGGACCTTGTCCAACCAACAGCGGAGCAAACACACCGCCCAGAACCGGCCTGGCCGCAAAGTTGATACCACCAGGGTAATCTCCACTGTCTGTCTCATAAAGATCTGTGAACGGTCTGTTGGTCGGTGTCTTGCCGATCCACGATGCGATCTTGGAGATGAAGAGCTTCTTGGTCGAGGGCGAGGCAATAGCAGCGACAAAGATCTCCCAGTCGAGTTTTGTGTAGGTGTGACGAGTATCCAGAGGAACTNNTAGTTCACGTCAGTATGGAGACAGAGTAAGAGACGAGTGGAACTTACCGCCGTATTGCATTGCGACGGTTGGGTAGAAGCTCGACTGCATCTTGTACACGCTGCGAGGCACGAGATTGGTCTTCACCCAGGTGTCGGCGAAGAGGTTGTAAAGGAGCCCATGGGTCTGGGGCATACCGTATGCGAGTGTAGTATGCGCAAGCGATCCATTCGTAGCTGGAGCAATACCCAATTGCTGCCATTTCGTGATATAGCTATGAGCAATATTGGTAAAGTTTTGAGCATCTGCTGTGTGACCAGTGAGGTTTGCGATCACGGCCATGGCTTCGATGCCGATGATTCCCTTGAGTGCTAGGTTGGTCTGATTTGCTAGTGAGCCGGCAAAGTCATCTGTAGAGATTTGGTTCGAAGGGATGAGGGACTCGATGACGAGGTAGTCGTTCCATTGTTTGAGGATGTTGTAGTGTTGATTCAAGTAGTCGGCACCACCGCTGACTTTCTGGGCTACAGCAAGAGCCATGATGATCATATTGCCACACTCCTCTAATGGTTGTTCCTCAGCATTACCATCGTTGTGACCAGTAGCGTTAGGGAAGGTGCCTAGATCATGGATTGCGTACGCATTCGGCCAGTTACCAGTCTCTTGGTTGATGAACAGCGGTTCAAGGAGTAAACGGCCGAGATCTGGGTTGAAGTAGATGAAGAGTGGGAAAGCAGGGAAGATGACATCCACAGTCTGCATGTCGCCATTACTACTGATCTCCTTCATGAACAGGTGATAAGAACTTTGTGAGCCAGCAAGCTGCGTAGTAGCAAACACTTGACGAACAGCGAGACTGGTGATGGTAAGGTAGTCTTGTCCTGCGTTCGCCAAAGAATCTGTAGCAACCTTTGTGTCGATGCTGCTTGCAGTAGTCTGAGCATTGGACCAGTCATTATAAAAGAACGAGACGAGATCGGGTTCGCTCGAAAAGTAGCTAGTCCAAAGTGGCGGCAATTGCTGGATTTTGCTTTTCTCGTACTCGAATTGAATGGCTTGTTCTTGTGCTAAGGTCAACGTGAACAACGCTGATGCCGGAGTGCTTCCAACAGATCCAAGGTCGAGAGCAAACGCAAACACTGGCCATTGGTTACTGATCGCTCTGTAGTTGGTGTTCAATTCGTTGTTGAGTACGCCATTATCGATGAAGGCACCACGAACATCTGTGTCAACGCCACCGTTCGAGTAGGTCAAACCACCATGCTGACATGCGTAGATCCAGTTACCCCAGCTTGCTTGGTCTGAGTTTTCTGTAAAGAGCTGCTGATCCCGCCGGTAGAAGCGATGGTATGCAATACCACTAGTGGCCGCCATGCCTGTAGCAGTCGCGGATGCTGAGACCGCAGATGCGGTCGTCGCGTCGGTCTGAGAAGAGATTACAGCAGTAGTCGAAAGATTCGAGGAGGCAACGGAGGATACTGGAACTGCCACTGTCTGCATCGTTGAGTATTTCGTGTTTAAATAACGCTTCGAAGCAGCGGAATTGATAGTGCCAAAGTCCCACTCTGCAACAGCAGACCTATCTCCAGATGCCCATTCAGCAGACACGTCCGAGTATAGCTGAACCTTGTGTTCGGCACCATCAATCGAAAAGACCTCGACGTCCATGTAAGATGCTGGGATAGATTGGCGCCTGAGATCTGTAGGTTCGACTGGAGAGAGGAAGGTTACATTCATTCCCACTTTGCCATCCACGGAGAGAGTGAAGACGGATTTGGTCGACGTATACTCAAAACCGGTCTGAGTAGCAACAGCAGGTCCTGGTGGAGCGCCCATCCAGGTCACTGCAGCGCCTCCATCAACTTTTATAAGACCTGAGATCTGTTAATGTTTAGTTCTCCGCAAGGTTGTCGACACAAAGCTACCTGTCCAGCCTGTCACCTGGCCNTCTGTGAAGTGTCAGTAATTTGGTCATTAGATGGTGCTTCTGACATACGCCCAGAACTTTGGCCATTGACCAGCAAGCNNTATCATTTGTTAGTATGGTTCTTATTCTTGCCATTGAATATTGCTTACATATCCACCATTGCCACCATCACTGCCAGCTTGTTGCCAGGTATTGAGGTATGGATTAGAAACTGCAAGAGGTATTGCTGGTGGTCTCGTAGGAGAGAAAGATGATTGGGCTAAGACTGTTGATACCAGCAATGATAAAGATGCCAGAGACAACATCTTGTCCTCTGTATGAAGGTGCAATGTGTTGGAAAGCGTTGTGGTTGAGGAGGAAAAGAGCGCCTACTTGAACTAGCTCTACCACAGGCTCAGATGATATACTGTCCAGTGTAGAAGATCAACATGGGGGATGATCAGTGATCAGGAGGGTGCGGAATGTAATCCCGAATGAGTTCTGCAGATTCAACGGTCATACTTATGTGCTGTCATATGGCGCTGTTTCTCTGTGTAGCTGCCAAGCTAGTCCGTCTACCCCTGGAAGCATTGCCCAGGAGTCGACAGTTGGCATGCGCATATGATGATATCGTCATAGGTCTCGCAGTCGAGGTACAGGTATAGTCATTATTGTGGTGCCTCGTCTGATCGATTGTCTGAGTATAAGAGTGTCGGACGAATGCTTGTGGCCACGGAGCAGAGCTTGTCCCGATGTAGCGGTGTCGAGTGCCAAGTAACGGCATCTTTGTTAGGAATGAGGTGCTGTCTTGTTCTGAGGCACTTTAATTTCACTGCGAATGACTTGAGTCAGGAGTTCAAGATGTAGCCATATGAGTGCCATGGCTCAATGGCGACGAATCAGAGTTTTGGGTGATCGACGACATGGCGGAAGTAGAGCGGAGTAACTAGCATGCATAAAGGCATGTGATCAGAAGAAAAAACAACAATAGGCGATCAACGGTAGAGATCAAGTGGTGATTACTCTCCGTCGTTGCACTGCAGGACGCCATTCAGACACTTCTTTGACGACGAAGTGCAAAGAGTGGTGTTGAATGCAGGAGTAGACGTCTTGGATGTCTTGGAGATGTGGGTTTGGGACGGACAGGGTCACAAGAAAGCTTGGAAATCCTCCGTTCAAGACTTTTGGCCAACCGAGGCTGTTGAGAACAAAGGAACGGCACGGTCATCTCAAGCTCTTTCCATCACGGCACGTGTAAACATCGCACATCATGGCAAGCCGCGGAGAGCTGCTGTATCCTGAGGATGATCGTCTATTCCTAGAAGCCTATCTGCCTGCAGCCGACCGTCAATCCACAGATTCAGGCGTGCCTTTTGTTACACTCACCTTCGCAACTTCACTGGATTCGGCATTGTCTCTGGCTCCTGGTGTACAGACGGCTTTGTCAGGTCCGCAGTCGAAAGCAATGACCCACTACCTTCGCTGCAGACATGATGCTATTATGGTTGGTGTAGGCACTGCAATTGCAGACAACCCGAGCTTGAATTGCAGAATTCAAGGTGTCGGTGGTTATGGTGGTGAAGGCCTGACTGGCCAGCCTCGGCCTGTTGTCGTTGACCCTCAAGGAAGATGGCAGCTGACTTCTGAGACCAAGATCTTGAATCTTGCTAGACAAGGACGAGGTAAAGCGCCATGGATTGTGACCGCAAAGGCACCAGACGCAGAACATGCCAAGTTGCTGGAAGAGGTTGGAGGATGTTACATCGTTCTCGAGTCACAAGCACAATCCTCTGAGGAGAAATCATCAATTGCTTGGCCCGACATTCTGCGAACAATCAAGGAAAGAGGCATCGGCAGTATTATGATCGAGGGAGGTGGCTTCATCATCAACTCGCTATTGTCGGCAGAAAATGCAAGCCTGATCAACTCAGTGATTGTGACCATCGCACCTACCTGGCTTGGTCAAGGTGGCGTTGTCGTGTCTCCGCCCAGAAAAGAAGGCAGTAGCCTGCCAGTCGCTCGTCTCCAACACACGAAATGGCAGCAGCTTGGCGACGACGTGGTTCTCTGTGGCACTTTGAATGCGTAAAGGATGGTTTTCCATCTCGATCAATGAGGCGTGACGTTGTCAGTCTTTGATTCGCTTCAACAAGCACTCAAGTGCCACTTGATGCGAACAGCTCAACTTGCAATCCTGTCCAATATGTTGCTTGATCGCGGCTTCCTGCAGCTTCGCGTCGCCAGTCGCGCTCGCTCCGCTTCAGACGCCTCTTTGCACTTCTCGGTTTCATCAAGGTCTTGACACTGTTTTAATCAGGACCCTTGCCAACTAGAACATCCTCACAGATGGCATTCCGGGATTCAAGACAACAGCACGGGTCACCGGACAGGACACTGGTCAGATTTTGACTGCCTGCGTCCTTCTATCTCACTGAGGATGTGTCTAGATCTTTTCAAGAACGATGCAGATTTGTCCATCCTCTGCCATCTTACAGAGGAGTCGGGCGTTGCAAAGGCCAGCGCGACTAGCTTTCTCAGTCTAGTGGACTCGAGTGCGCACGAGTACCACAAGTCGCTGGATGCTGGGTTTCTAAGCAGAATACCCAACAGTTGTTTACCGATCGATGATGCCACAATCTTCGCATGACCACTATGACAGGCATGCAATGTAACTCTACTCTCTTAATCATTGTCCTTGGTATCATCTCTGCTTGCTTGGAGCTGTTATGATCTCAAAGCTTTCATTTTTTTTTCAAATTATAAATACGAAACCCAGCCGGCTGCCTCAAGACATCAATATCAATGTCTGAGACTCGCATGTCTTGACTCTATTTCATCTCCCTCGGGTCGAGTCCTGTTATCTTCTGCCTCTCGATCCCGAGTCCCCATTTCCAAGGATCATATATATAAAATATACCTTCGAAAATCCGTAAGCTCGCTCATCATCCCAAACACCAACCCCCAAAAACCAACCAACAAATCTACCCAAGCAACATCAACAGTCCATACACTCCCACTATAACACCCCCAAACCTCTACTTATCAACTCATCAACCCACCAACCCAGAAACCAAAAAAAGAAAAAATGTCTTCATCAAACTCAACAAACACCTCCACCACCTCGACCGCAGCCTCTACACCCCAAAGCGTAACCTTCATCTTGAGCCCCATCTCAACATACCCCAACACTGTCCCAAGTAACCCTCACACCCCGGCATACATGGAGAGTTCAGCCAATGTGGCTAGCTTCATACATGCCTCTGCTGCTCACTGGAGAAGCTGTTATGCAGAGGAAGATGCCGTCGCTGGTGCAGAGGATGACAGATAAGGAGCAATACATGTGCAGTGGGACTTTGCCGATAAGACTTGTGAGAGTGATATTGCGAGGAAACAAGCGAAAGGAGAGCATCGATGTCATGTAATAGAGTGGTTCCAAGCTTGAGGATCATGGAAAGGAGAACTGTATGGTTAGAAAGCAAGATGACAAAAACCAGAGAGGGGTGGCTCGGAAGAATGATGGAAAAGAGTAAGGACGTGATATACATTTTTATACACCGCAAAAGGCGCAAAAGGCCAAGCAAGCAAAGCAAGCAGTCATTCATGCGTGCCGTAATAGAAATACATGTTTGGATGAGGAGAAACTCAGACGAAGAAATAATGAGGAGCCATGGACTCACGAGTGCAATAACGTGAGAAGTTAGTCAGCAGAGTGTCGAGGAAGTTCTACTCCTGTCTCTTTGCCGTCTCGCTGGCTGCAGGGGCTCCTGATGCCGAACCCCAGCCGAACCAACTCTTCTTCATGTCCTTGCTCATGTTCTCCATGAACTTCTTCTCTTCCTCTTCCATCTCCTTGAGCCACTTCTCGCCGTTCTTTTGAATCTCGGCTTCGAGGCGTTGGTACTCGCGTTGACCACGCTCACGGATCTGGTCAGACAGCATCTTGCCTTGGGACAATCCTTCGGCGACAGTGGTCTCGTTATCTAGGGAGAGACCGCCAGGTTGGGCCTTGATACCAAGGGCTTTGTTGAGAAGACCACCGATCGAGCGTTGAGGACGGCGGGATTGCTCTTCTGCGAGCTGCTTTTGGAAAGCCTCGCGAGCCTTGCCTTCACGAGCAGCGAACTCGATGGGGATATCGGAGCCGGCGAATGATTCGAGGACCTTGCGGGTATCTTCGACACCCATGGTAGCGACGTACTCGAGGAAGGGAATCAGGGCGACGAGGTCCTTGGCGTGAGGATCTGAGGGCTTGCCCTCCCACTTGGGCAGAACGATANNCTGGATGTTGGAGTTAGTATGTTTTGGTGAATGAGATGATCAAGTAACATACGCGTTGTTAGGGTTGTTCTTGACGTGTGCGGCCTTGGTGTCGATCATGATGACCTTGTCGAGAGGACGGTTCAAGTAGTTCAAGTCCTTGACGTATTCACCATTCTCGTACTTGGTGGCTTCACGGAACAGGGGCCATTGGATGATGTGGAAGGGGTCGAGCTTCTTGATGACAGGGTCGGCCATTGCGACGGGAACCGAGGTGAAGAGAACCAACTCGTAGTACTGACTAAGGTACTTGAGGAAGTAGTCGACACCAGGACGCTTGGCAGTACGCCAGCCGTGCTCGCGGGACCACTCGCTGTGGATGAGCAAGTCTTCAAGGGAGAGGACAAGGGTGAAGGGAGGACGTTGAGACTCGGGGACCTCGGGCAACAGCTTCTGGAAGGTGGGCTCGGTGTAGTAGGCGGCTTGGCTGCTCATGCGGTTCTTGACACGGGCGTACATGCTTTGGGGTGCCCATCCAGTGATGTGCTCAGGCTCGAGGCCTTGAGGGGTCTCGTCGGCTCCGTAGGGTCTTGTGAAGTAAGCGGTACCAGCAGCAGCGAAGGCCAGCAATGAGAGATAACCGTAGTTGGCCATTCTGGCGCGGCGCTTGTCGAATGATGTCTCGTAGTCCTCGCGACGGTATTGCTCATCCTCACCCTCAGCACCACGTCTGCCGCCAAATCCAGCAGCTTCGGGAGTGGACTCGGGAGTCTCTTCACCAGTAACCTTCTGCTCGGTGGGGTTTTGCGCGCTAGCTTCCTTCTTCATAAACTCGAAATCAAAGGTCGAGGGTATGCCTTGGCGCAGATCAGGCAAGGGACCGGAGGGTTGTGACTCGGTGGGCTGTTCTGTAGGGGTGGTGTTGGCATCTGCGGATTGCGGGCCTGAGAAGGCAGGATTGCTGGCTTCAGAGGCTTGGTTGGAAGAGGTGGTCTTGGGGAAAGGACCGGGCTGTTCTGTGGGAGTGGTGTTCGCGGTGGGGGTGGCCTTCGTGCTGGCAGAGGCGTCTGGTGCTACAGGGCCATCGGCGGCAGGACGGACGGGTTGTTGTGCTGCAGCGGCAGGAGCAGCGAACTTGATGCTATCGGTGGGCTTCCATGTCTTGTCCTTTGGAAGGCTGGTGCCCGGTGAGGTCTGACGGGCAGAGGTGGCAGGGGAGGGTTGCTTTGCTGGCTTGGGAGCAGCAGCACCGGCAGGGACGAAGCGGCCGGGTTTGGCTGCAGAGCGAGCAGAGGTGGAGAAGTTGGCAATCGAGGCCTTTGCCGCACGTTGCGCCGCGCGCGAGAGCATTGCGTGCCGAGGGTATGCGCGGGTGGGAGAGGAGGTTGTTGGTTGCGCCTGCGCTGGGAGATGTTCTTGTGCGACTCGTCGAGTCTGGTTGTGCGGGAAGGTGCGTGTGAGGTGCAGCCAAATAAACTCGGTCACCGAAGTGGAAGGAACGGGAAAGTCTTGAAAGCTCTCCAGGTCGGCGTCTCCAAAGCACCGATGACTTCATCTACCATCTAGACAAGTATCCCGTCATTGTCGACAAGCCATCGCTCTCGACTAGAATGCTTTGATTTCTCTATGCAGCCCTGGGAATGCGTGTTTACCCTCGGCCGCGACCTCAGGCCTCTTCTCAGTCATGGCCGACCCTGGTATGGCTGATGATCGTTTGCGCCGTCCTCGGCCACGCCATGACCAAGTCTGAGGTGGATGCCTTGAGGTTTGTCACATGTCACACTTTCACCTTCTTCTGTCGCATTTGCTTACTTTAGACTAGAAAGGACACACGCTCCGTCTTCTACCATGGCCTGACCAACTACCGCCAGTTCGCCTACCCCGAAGATGAATTACGACCACTCTCATGTGCACCCTTGACACGCGACCGCACCAATCCCGCCCACATCGAGGTCAATGATGTGCTGGGCAACTACTCGCTCTCGGTCGTAGACAGCCTGTCTACCCTGGCCATCCTCGCCTCTGACCCGACTTCCGACACGGACGGGTACAACGCTCTGGAAGACTTCCAACATTATGTGGCATTGGTCGTCGAAGACTATGGGGATGGCTCGCCTGGTCCTGCCGGCCAGGGTCGCCGTGCAAGAGGTTTCGACCTGGACAGTAAAGTTCAAGTCTTTGAGACGACAATCCGCGGCTTGGGTGGTCTTTTGAGTGCCCATCTGTTTGCCATTGGTGAATTGCCCATCCGTGCTTACGAACCTGATATCGAAGAGGATGGAATACACTGGCCGAATGGCTTTGTATATGATGGCCAATTGTTACGACTTGCCCAAGATCTTGGTGAGCGACTCTTGCCCGCCTTTCACACCCCGACTGGATTGCCCTACCCCAGAGTCAATCTTCGCTACGGCACTCCTTTCTATGAGAACTCGCCCTTGAACAACGATCCTGAACATGGACAGTGTCACAAAACTCAAAAGCCAAAAGGATCTCGTGAGATTACAGAAACTTGCAGTGCTGGCGCTGGTAGTCTCGTGCTTGAGTTTACCACCCTGTCCCGTCTAACCAACGACCCTCGATTTGAACGTCTGGCTAAACGTGCCTTCTGGGCTGTATGGGAACGACGCAGTGCTTCTGGTCTGATCGGTGCTGGCATCGATGCAGAGACTGGCGCATGGATCGGTCCTTGGACTGGCATCGGTGCTGGTATTGACAGCTTCTTCGAATATGCTTTCAAGTCGCACGTCCTGCTATCTGCCCTGCAAGGTGATTTCTACAATGTCACAGAAGACTCCCCGGATGCCTTCCTCCAGACCTGGAAAGACGCCCATTCTGCCATCATGCGCCATGTCTATCGGGACGCTTACTTCACCCATCCGCACTACGCTCAGAATGATCTGTACACTGGCGGACCACGACTCACATGGATAGACAGTCTGAGTGCTTACTATCCTGGTCTATTAGTCCTGGCTGGGGAGTTAGACGAGGCCATCACTGCTCATCTTCTGTATACTGCCTTGTGGTCAAGGTATGGTGCTCTGCCTGAAAGGTGGGATGCAACTACTGGCGCTATCCATGGCGGTCTGAGATGGTGGGGCGGCCGACCAGAGTTTATCGAATCTACATGGTATCTTTATCATGCCACGAAAGATCCTTGGTATCTCCACATTGGTGAAATGGCATTGCGCGATATCAAACGCAGATGCTATACCAGGTGCGGTTGGGCAGGTCTGCAGGATGTCCGAACAGGCGAGAAAACAGATCGCATGGAGAGTTTCTTCCTAGGTGAAACTGCAAAGTACATGTACCTGTTGTTTGACCCGGACCATCCTCTGAACACGATTGACGCACCTTGGGTCTTTACGACAGAAGGACATCCGTTGATCATCCCCAAAGCCAACAGGACAAGCACGAGGAAATATCACAATCGAAAGGAGGATCAGATCAACACCGTGCTGAAGCCTCGAGCGGAACAGTGTCCATTGCCTCCGGCCTTGTTACCTCTGACAGTATCACCAACCGCTGCTAGACCAGATGTCTTCCATGCTGCTTCTCTAGCTCGACTTCATCTCATGCCCATCGGCAACAAGCCTGGCGCTCCTTCGCTGGACTGGGCTTCTGATCATCCTAGTGTGACTATGCTTGGTCCTGAATCTCCGACCAATTTCACTTTCTACCCTTGGACTCTGCCTCTCAACCTGGTGCCTATAGACGGTTATAGCACTAAGCTATCCAACAAGCCAACCTTTGATCTCACTTTTCCTACTACTGCTGGTACAGGTCTCGAGATTGGTACACTCCAAAAAATTGATGGAGGTGTCCTTGTCAACTCAATCTCAGGTTTGAGATTTGGTATGGTACTAGAATCACCGGCACCAGAAGAGCACGAGTACAGAATATACACTCTCGGCAACTTTGCGCTTGGTCGTGACGAGCACATCGCATTGAGTCGAGACACCTTGTCACAAATTAATCCGACAGATCCACACTTTACGCGCATGCGTGATGTTGAAGCCATGGATTTGATCATTGATGTACCACACCCTGAGGAATCCGTCTTCGAAGCTCTTGTGTATAACAACACTGCATTGACTGATCACGTCTTCGACTTCAGTCTCGACTTCGACCTGGATGCTTTGGGTGCCACTTCCAATCCCGGCGACATGGTTTTGGATTCTCTACCGAAAGCTCTTTTTGCTGATGTCCATCGTCTTGCGGAACAACTCGATGGACTAGTCGGCGTTCTTCCTGATGCCGACAGCATAGATGACGCTCTTCGTGACGCGGTCAATCAGCTTCGATCAAAATCTACCGCTGCCTTGCCGTCCTCCTCGGCAGCTCCATCGCAGCAGAAGAAAGATCTACAACGTTTCACTACGCCGGCAATGCTACCTATAGGACCTGGTGCAGCACCTTTGCCAGCAGTCGTTGATTCGTCACCCGATCCGCGAAGTCTTTCTACTGGAAGTCTCCCTTACACGACCATCCTTGTCATCGACTCTGATCTATGCAATACTGCTCCCATACCGCTTGACCTCGTCACGACGCACACAATCCTCATAATTCGTCGTGGCGGCTGCAGTTTCAGCAAAAAGCTTTCTGCTATTCCTTCGTTCCCACCTTCTGCCAAGTCACTGCAACTAGTCTTGGTGGTAAGCTTTGGAAACGACGAAGGAACAAGGCCGTTAGTTGATGAAGTTCAATTGACACCCAAGGGATTACCCAGACGTCATCCGATTTGTCTTGCGCTTGTCCCGGGAGGTCAAACCGTCTGGGATACTCTCCTCAGAGGAGCGAGTACTGTAGGTATTGTTGACAATACTGGTACCATCAGTACCTTGGACGGCAGGAAAACAGACACTGCACAAGCTGGAGCCGGAGCTACACAAACACAAGCAATGGAAACTGGCAAGAAGAAGGCTAAGAAGACAACCAAAGCAAAAGCGAAAGGGAAGAAAGAGGTCGAAGCAGTTCCTGGCATTGGTGTCAGGAGGAGATTTTACTTCACCAGCAAGGGTGTACGAATTAGCAATCTCATCGTTACCTGAGCTTGTATGCCAATATTTTCTTTCTCATTACGCGTTATTTTCGGTATGCTCACCTGATGAGGCGTTTTCCTTGCAAGTGGGTGGTGTTGGCGTTGCGAAACATCTCCGCGGCTGAATTGGCAAGGCACGCCTCGAGCGGGAAAGTGTATATCCTTTTTCCAACGACAACTCATCAAATCGATATGTGAAATCCAGCATAGTCATTGACATGAGCCTTGGGGTTAGGTGGATTACTTAGTTCAACTCTTTCCAAGCGAAAACTAGAAGCAAATTCATGTCTACAGCATTCCTGTCGTTCGCCTCGGAAGTGTCGTCGCAAACGCTCGGTTCTCGTTCTCGGGAAGGAACGAACAGCTCTCACGTCACACTCAATGTTTTCTCTTTCTGATGACCAAAGCGCAGATTGCTTGTGGCCCTGATTGGAGCTGTCACAGTCACAAAAAACACACAGCGTTTTCTCACCAGGGCAAGTTTAGGGATGTTGCGGATGCTGCGGTTTGGCGTCCGCGTCGCCCGAGTGGTTTTCGCTCTGACATTTGGAGTATAAAATGTTATCTCTACGTTTGTCACATACAGCTAGGTTCTTTTTGCCTTGTCAACATTTACTTCTACATCTCTAGCTCACTTCGGTACTGAACTTCTGAGTCTACGAAAAAGCGATCAACACCAATATGTCGTTGACACCGGATCAAGTCAAGCTTATCAAAGCAACTGTGCCCGTGTTGAAAGAGCATGGCAACACGATCACTACCCATTTCTACGACCTACTTCTCAAGGAGAACCCTTCTCTGAATGGTATTTTCAATCAAACGAATCAGAAAAACGGACATCAAGCAGGTGCATTGGCTGGCAGCTTGTACGCATACGCCTCGCATATCGATGGCTTGGGTTTACTGTCTCCTGCTGTTGAAAAGATTTGCCATAAGCATGCGAGTATGTACGTACAACCCGAGCATTACGATGTCGTGGGGACGTATCTGTTACGCTCTATGGGTGATGTGCTTGGTGAGGCCTTGACGCCGGAGATACTCGAGGCTTGGGGACAGGCGTATTGGCAATTGGCGGATATTGTGAGTATTGTCTTGTCTACTTTCTGGCGAAGTCCGACGACTGACGAAATGATATAGATGATCAAGCAAGAAGACTCACTCTACAAGTCGGCCGGTCCTTGGACATCCTGGCGCGACTTCCGCATCTCGAAGAAGATCCCCGAGTCTGAGGAGATTACGTCTTTCTACCTTCATCCTGTGGATGCAAAGCCATTGCCTTCTTACCTACCTGGCCAATATATCAGTGTCGCCACCTCTGTCCCATCACTCCACCATGATCAAAATCGCCAATACTCGCTCTCCACCGCGCCATCACCAGACCACTACCGCATCAGTGTAAAGCGCGAATCTGCCGTCAAAGAAGGAGATATTACTCACCCAGCCTACATCTCCAATATCCTGCACTCCGACAAGAAAGAAGGAGATATCCTTCAAGTGTCGCATCCTTACGGCGAGTTCTATGCCGATCCCAAGGAAAACAGCAACGGAGCTCTGATCTTAATTTCCGCAGGTGTGGGAATTACTCCGATGGTCTCTATCCTCGATACTTTTGTTCAGGAGAACAAGGATCGTAAAATTAGTTTTATCCATGCGACGAGGTCATCTGGTGTTCAAGCTTTTGGATCTCATATCCGGGATACTGTTTGCAAGTACCCACAGATCACATCGGTCATCTTCAACAAACTTCCCTCGGTGGATGCAAAGCAAGGCACAGATTATGACTTTGCTTGCCGCATGGATCTGGATAAGCTGGACAAGCAACAGGATCTGTGTCTAGGTGACAAGCAAGCAACCTATTACGTCTGTGGTCCTAGCGGCTTTATGAGGGATATGGGAAACAAACTCAAGAATTATGGAGTCGAGGAACAGAGAATCAAGTTGGAGATCTTTGGTACGGGAAATCTGTCGTAAGATAGATTTCTGGCCCTGTAGGATGAATTCAGACATCTCGACTCTAGTAGTGGCTTGTAGCAATCAACTCTGCATTTCGACAGTATGTTAGGATCTGCCAGGCTAATATTAGAGAAAAGTGCCCATTATTTATTCGTCACTCTTATTCTTAGGTCCATGTCTACGACCTCTGACTCTCGATATCGCTTGCACTTAGGACACAAAACTTCAGGCAATCGAAGACGCGGCTTCACAACCCGTTTGGTCAAGTCGCTGGTTCAACACTCCTATCAACATGTACCTACAATAAAACCACCGCAACACCTCGCCGTCGCCCTTTCGACGAAGAATCTCACTGTTGCGGCCCCAACCCTGTCTTTGACGCACAGCCTTTCTGAAGCCTCAGTCAGCAAAAAAATTTCTTTCCACCACCACCATACATCGCATATCGAAGGCAAAAGAGATGTCGATACCAATCATTGTATTAGGAATAGCCGAAGGCGAGGCTCGAACTCGCGACCTTGAGGTNNTTGCCTTATAAGCCCCGCCACAGGCGGGTGATAAGAGCCACACGCTCTACCGATTGAGCTACCCCGGCAGGTCTGATTGNNATCGAAGTCCNNACTGGGTGAACTGGCGCTGATTGCAGATTGACGCAGGCGGCACACAGAGTGTGGTATACATACCTCAGTTCTCAAGCTCTGGCAATTGGACGAGGTCAGACGCGTATGAGTTTCGGCAAGCCAGTTCACTCACTGTTGCTGTTCAATGTGTATCCACAGGATCGTTGCAACATTCATTTTTCTTCGTTCACTCTTTCTTCTTCTCAGTACAAAAGCAGGGACTAGAACCTTTTGCGGTGTTCAAAGCAAGCCCCAGTAATCCTACAACGAAAGTGGTGTAACTTGGCTCATGTCTGACATCTTGAAGTTGGCTTATGAAGCACTGTCTGCAGACTCTGACTATGACGAGATAGAAGGAGGAAGATCGACGGTCAGTGAATCATCCGGAAGTTCTGCTGTTTCCTAACATATGGCCTGCACCTGGTGCCATCAATGCGGTAAGTCACATCAACAGTTGCGATCGTGGGAGATTGAGGTATTGCATGGGATTAGTGACCTGTAATCTTTCTGTAGGCATGCTATCCTTGTGAAGCTTATCTTCATGGCCAGAGAAGTCATATTGGGTTAATTCCTCATGAGCCACACGGGCGATACTAGAGGAGATAGGAGTAACGCGAGCTGGGAAAGAAGTAAATTCTATGCTTTATGCTTGTGTGTGCGGCTCGGATCCTACACATAGCTTTTCGACCACCTTTGATGGGCCATAGGTAGCACTGGTCCTGCTGGTAGGTCTTTGTGGGGTGATGCATTTCTAGTGTGGTAAGACATCTCTCATTTCCGTCCTTACAAATCCTGCGTATCTGTACCAAGAGAGCTGATTCATGACCCCTATATGTGTTTTTCTGAATTCATAATACTCAAGACGGTCACTATAGCAAGTGACCTAGCCCTAATGCCAGCAAAGCTGCCATTGCTTGGACGTCCTTTGTAAAGTCATGAACTCGCGACATGTCGATGAATGGTTCCTCGATCCACGAACGGGAGAAACTGCCATCCCTGGTACAAAGGTTCCACACCAACCCCTGGGAAGTGAACGGGAGTATTGTACGTTGCACTATTGAGCCACTGACCACTTTTCTTGGATCGGAAGACCGAGTCATCTAATGGATGGCTGCGGCCATAGCAACCACTATCGACTGGCGAGGATGGCCATCATGTGGGGCGAAGAGTTAGCTTGTGCATGGGACGGTATGACAACAAGTACAAGGCTTTTAGCGTCAATCAAAGAACGGAAAGATGACCGAAGCCACATGCAGCTGGGGTCTGCTCTTTCCCCTCAAGCACCACGCAGAAGAACCATGGGACTGCTCTGCAGTTAGCTTACTTGAGACGGGCGATTTGTCGTTCAAGTAAGCTATGCAGAGTTTGTTACATGAACCCCCTGACTGCTCGCCCCAGTGGTAGAGTCTGACAGCCTCTTCGTTCAGGTAGCCTTTTGGTAGCGTGCGGTTGGCATCATCACGCTGGGGAAGTCGGTGTCGTTCGGGGAGCCTCGAGGGTTTCATGCTCTCACTTCTTGCTGCTCTGTGTTTGCTTCGTGTGCTTGAGGTGTGTTGTTGCTGCTTCGACTTTGACATCGTCCGATCTTGTGCAGCCACAGCCACAAAGTCCTACGTCTCCACTGACAACGATTTGTGTATATATGTACCATTGCCGAAGCTGAGTCACGCATGTTGGTTATGTTCAGGTCTTGAAACCATTTGAAAGATGTTACGACAAGTACCACTACGTCTTTATCGATTATCTGCTTACTTCTTGGATGCTATCTCACATTATTTGCGTCTAGCTTGGTAAATGAAGCACATTTATCGCTGTCGGTAAGTAATTATGGAGCGCAAAGACTACACAACAGACAAACATGCAGTACGTAAGGGTAGAAGGCTCAACAAGTCACAGCTCTACTATATGCATAAGAAGGTGATTAGGAATTACTTTCTAATGTGCAACTTCAAATTACATAAACAGCACAACGGCTTTCTCTTTATTTTCATTACACACAGACGTTCTCACATCCTACTCGATCTTGAGGCTTACAAATACATGGCTAATGAGTTCAAACACCCTAGGCACTTGCAGGGCAATGCGTACAGTGCCATTAATCTTGCTGTCAAGTTCGACGAGTGTCGTGGATCAATGATCCTGCTTCAGCGTCCTGCTTGGTCTATCGACCCACGACACGAGGTTACAATAGAGGTTGTGAGCACTGCAACCAGAAGTAGTGAAGGTACGACAACGTGAGACCACTATAGGCATTTATCCTGTTGACATGAATGTCGTCGTGAAGACTGGAAACGACCTCAACTTCGCCTCGTGAGTGCATTTGGATCGTAGCTTAGTATGCACCCTTTCTGTGCGCGAAAGCTTCCTGAGACTTTCTTTGAGAGCATAGGAAGCAATAGATTCACGGCTCCAGATCGACCCTGTCGAGGCATGATTGTGGAAGTCATTAGTGCAGAAGATAGTGTGTTGGAACGCAATGATCAGGAACACTACTTGAACAAGTGGCTGACCACGTATAAGTTCCGCCAGGCACAGCAATGCGGAGAGGAGCCAAAAATTTGTATTAGCAGCTTGGCCTCGATAGAGTACTCGGTGTGATGAATCCAGCTCCCGCGACGAAGAGAGCCACGCGGGACTTCACGGCCTCAGATAACCACCAGCTTCACCTCTTCTAAACAGAAGGCGTGTGTTTATCGTGCAACACAAACAGCCTGAAAGATATCATGGAGTACGTGCAAGCCTCTGCTTGACTTGAGGATCTGCATGGGACTTATCTTGCGCCTGGCATCGTTGTTCTCTGTGGCTGTTTGTGTCGGTGATTTTTGGGAATCATATGAGTGTTTCTTGCTTGTTCGTGCATGCGTCTGCGTTGCTGGAGAGTGCTACCGAAGAGAGATACGCGAGGTGAACATGCACTTCTCGTGAGTTGTGGCATGTCGAGGATTAGTCGGCGAAGACGTGGCCAGAGTGGCGGGTACGACAGAGTGGCAGCATGAAATGCACCTGGCAGAAAGACAACGGTGTTAGCTCGAATCGCGTCAGCACATACTTGCGTGTGTGATCTGTTGAATGAATCAAGACAGCCAGCGAGCGGCGGAAAGTGAACTAGCAAGCCGGATCTGCTTGTGTTTCCAGCTGTTCAATAGAGAGATTGGGCCTCTTCAATGAGCAGTATAGGATGCCAGGATAGGCGTGCTGAGTACCGGCGACTTGCGAGAAGCAATGCAGCCGAACAGTTCACCGATAGAGACAGAAGCTTTACTGGCGTCAGGACGACCGAAGACTCCAGTTTTGGGGAGAGCTATGCACTGGGCGATGTTGGACGAGCACGACGGGACGGGTCAGACTGTTTTGACGGACAACGATCCTATGGCGCACTCAGACACTTCGCGATCAATTCCAGATTCAGTGCTTGTAGTTGCTTCGCTCTGGCTTCTGTCGGCCGATTAAGGCTCTCGATAGTCAGCGAGGTGTTCGGGAAAGGGGTGATATTTCCGTGAGCATCTGCCGTGTGTTCTGGGCATTGATGCCAGCGATTCATGAGACACAATAACATGATGCCGATGCCGCAAGTTGGATCGCATTACGTGCTTGAGCGTCGGAAACGGATCGAGGGCTGAGTTACATCGGGGTTCCCTTGCCAGTAATGACAGAGACACAACTCAAGACAGCAATATGAGTTTGCACAACCCCCAAGAGGCCTAGACATGTGGCATCATGGTTGTAAGCATAGTTCATCGACTACAGCCGCGGAGACAGCATCGAAACTTTCAAACGAACAGAAGAATGGCGGGTAGTATGCAGTATTGTTGTGACACGCCCTGTAGGGTGTGACTCGTCCAAGAAGCGTCCTATGTCGCACCTGCCGTCATGAGGTACCCCTTACCAGGATAGTCAATACTGCCAAGAATTAATCAATCCGAGCTTGACCGCACGGTGGACAAAGGAAGGGCGGCGAGATTCAAAGCAAACGGCTTCCTTCTGGCCAGAAGCTTAGTAGCATGAATGCCATTACCATGAGTATCAAGCGTGGATTCTCCCAGAAACGCACTCGAGGGCAGACTGCATCAAGAATTGATGAATATGGGGGGCACGCGTAGGAGGATTCGTTTCAGGAGCTGTCGTGATGCCCTCGTGCAGTCGGCCAGGTCTTCCGTTCACCAGAAGATATAACGTTAAAGTTACAACGGCACTTTCCTGGCTAGACCATATTGTAGCAGAGATGAAAGATCTTGATGGATGGTGTCGCAATATGACCAACCGCATCTCCGAGAAGCAAGAGTTCAGAGATCTTCCTCATGTAACGACGGGAGCCTCTCACCAGCAACCATTGCTTGTCGTAATCCGAATCTTGGTCGCAAATTCAGTTGCAACGACACGAAGCTTGTGGCCAGCAAT